GTTGAAGGAATACCTAGTATTGGTGTTTATCTCAGCGTAGACATCATAATGTAAATGCTGACACTACTGTGTTGCCCATTCCAGCCTTACGGGCAGATACTACACGTAAGGCATTGCATTGCGCCCTACCAAAATAGTTTCTGCTTAGAAATTTATTTATCTGCCCGTGCATTCTTGATTTTTTCAATTGGTCCAATAGACGATTGTGAGGGAAGTAGTGTTACAATAGGAGTGTTTTCTGGTTTTAGGCCGGACACTGTTAGGATTAGTTTAACATATCTGGTGTTAAATTTGTAAACAAGGAGCCAATTAAATCAGTATCGTATGCTAACACCACTGTGTTGCCCATTCCAGCCTCACGGGCAGATACTACACGTAAGGCATTGCATTGCGCCCTACCAACAATAGTTTCTGTTTAGAAATTTAGTTATCTGCCCGTACATTCTTGATTTTTTTCAATTGGTCTATTATACCAATGCAGGGTAACTAGTGTTACAATAGGAGTGTTTTCTGGTTTTAGGCCGATACTGTTAGGATTAATTTGACAGATCTGGTGTTAAATTCGTATACAAACTGCCAATTAAGTCAGTATCGTATGCTGACACCACTGTGATGCCCATTCCAGCCTCACGGCCAGATACTACACGTAAGGCATTCCATTGCGCCCTACCAAAATACTTTCTGCTTAGAAATTTATTTTTCTGCCCGTGCATTCTTTTTTTTTTTAATTGGTCCAATAGACGATTGCGAGGGAAGTAGTGTTACAATAGGAGTGTTTTCTGGTTTTAGGCCGGACACTGTTAGGATTAGTTTAACATATCTGGTGTTAAATTCGTATACAAACTGCCAATTAAGTCAGTATCGTATGCTGACACCACTCTGATGCCCATTCCAGCCTCACGGAAAGACACTACACGTAAGGCATTGCATTGCGCCCTACCAACAATAGTTTGTTTAGAAATTTATTTATCTGCCCGTGCATTCTTGATTTTTTCAATTGGTCCAATAGACGATTGCGAGGGAAGTAGTGTTACAATAGGAGTGTTTTTTGGTTTTAGGCCGGACACTGTTAGGATTAGTTTGAAATATTTGGTGTTAAATTCGTAAACAAACTACCAATTAAGTCAAATATCGTATGCTAACACCACTGTGATGCCCATTCCAGCCTCACGGGCAGACATTACACGTAAGGCATTGCATTGCGCCCTACCAACAATAGTTTCTGCTTAGAAATTTATTTATCTGCCCGTGCATTCTTGATTTTTTCAATTGGTCCATTATACCAATGCGAGGGAAGTAGTGTTACAATAGGAGTATTTTCTGGTTTTAGGCCGGACACTGTTAGGATTAGTTTAACATATCTGGTGTTAAATTTGTAAACAAGGAGCCAATTAAATCAGTATCGTATTAGAATAATTTTAAGTCTCTCAGGATCTGACTTTATATATAAATGTTTCCCACCTCGTATGCGGGTTTTACGCAACGACTTGTGTGTACCCTAATTGTTGTGTTTTCGTTTGGAAGGACGTGGCTTTGGGATCCCAGAATTCAAAGTCCAAATAACGCTTTGATGTTTAACTTAAGTAATTATCCGTTGGACGACTAATATCGGATTAAATGGAAAAACTTTGATGAATTTTAGTGCGCATTAACTATTTTATACAGTAGATTAGATAGTAATTTGAGTTACAAAACATTTTGAATTAGTTATCTGTATATTTTTGGTTTTCCCTGATTCTCTGATAGTCTGGTAAACCCTCGAAATCGGGACAAGCTGTTCCTAATCACGCAGTAACCAGGTCTTCGTTAAAGCGCAGCACAAATTACTGGACTTCTTTAATTAAAATTAAAATCTTATGGTGTGACTCTTCTTCAAGTAAACATTGGACCGCTTTATCATAATGTAATATCCCGTTAATCACCTTCTAGTATATAAGCGAGTCAGAGATGAAATATGGAAAATTTACATTCTTGCCTTACATTTCTTCCGTGATTAAAAGAAATGTGGCATGTAGCTGTTTGGCAATAGAAATGTGGAACTGTGGCATGTGGCAATGCGTTTCGGTTTGACGGGCGGGGCAGCAGTTGTACTGTTAAAACTGAGACCCTATAACTCATGTCTCAAGGTGGGTTGCGGCATTTACGTTGTAGATGTCTATGGGCTCTGGTAACCACTTAACACCAGGTGGGCCGTGAGCTCATTCACCTATCTAAGTAATAAAAAATAAAAAATAGGCAGATTAAGATTTGTTTTCATATTTAGACCGTAGCCATACGTGTATTGACTGAAAATATGGCCTATTCATATTTTGAGAAGTTAAGCGCATTTCATTGCGTATTTCACATGAAATTATTTCCAAGCCGAATACTTGGCTAAAAACTTTTAAGCGATACGAGAACGTGCCATAAGTTTATCGTCTTCGAGTAGAATCGTCAACAAAATACGAAAACAATAACAGGATAGTCGAGAAGTTAATTTAATTTTGAAAAATAATAATTAAATAAAGTGTCTTTCGAATGATGAAAACCGTAGCGGTTCGCTTTTTTTATTTTTTTATTGCTTAGATGGATGAACGAGCTCACAGCCCACCTGCTGTTAGGCGGTTACTTTAGCCCATAGACATCTACAACGTAAATGCGCCACCCACCTTGAGATATGTTCTAAGATCGCAAGTATAGTTACAACGGCTGCGCCACCTTTCAAACCGAAACGCATTACCGCTTCACGGCAGAAATAGGCAGGGTGGTGGTACCTACCCGTGTGGACTCACAAGAGATTCTACCACCAGTAATTACGCAAATTATAATTTTGCGGGTTTCATTTTAATTACACGAAGTTATTCCTTCATTGTGGAAGTCGATCGTGAATATTTGTTGAGTACGTATTTCATTAGAAAAATAGGCACTCGCCTGGGATTCGAACACCGGTGCATCGCTCAACACGAATGCACCGGACGTCTTATCCTTTACGCCACGACGACGACAAAATACGCTGCAGCAGATACGAAATATTCTATCTATATATAATATAAGTGAAGCAAAAACTTTGTACCCCTTTTTATGAAAATTGCGCGGACGGAGGAATATGAAATTTCCCACACTTATAGAGAATATAGAGAAGGAGTGCACAATGCTAATATTTTTTAAAAATAATGCATAAAAGATACATTAAATCAATAAAGAAAACATTACACACAATGCCATGTATTTGACACACGCACATATGTGTATATACTCTTTGTTTATTGTCAAATTTTAGTTAATGCTTAAAGTCTGTGGTCAAATTGAAAATAGGTTAATATTGTTTATCTTTAATATTATTTGTCTATAGTGTAGTCTTGGCAAAATCTGTGATTATAGACGTATATAAACTTATAATTAAAGTCGAATTTTGACTAAAGCGGGACCACTAGTATTGGTAAAATGATAATCGTCTCAAACAATTCATCTGAACACTGCCCATAAAACAAACTATACGAAACATTGGAAGAATCAGAGTCCCGTGGTAACAGTCTCTCATTCTGACCTGAATACAAATATATTATTTATTCATGTGACGAATATTACCTCGGAATCGTCGTAAAGAGCACAAAAGTTTCTTTTTTGTAAATCCGAATCTTAATGCATCCGTGAATGCTTTGAGCATTTTGTGCGAGACTATACTGGTATTGAAGATCTCTGGAAACGTTTTGCACTTACGCCAATTGGCACCAAAAGAGAACTTTGCACTAATTATTTACAAGCTTGCGTTAATCTATTTGCGAATACCACGTAAATAAATCTTAGCTTTCTTGTTGCTTTGTTTTGCACGGGTCAACGAATCTATGACCCATCGGGTTTTAAGTGGCCACCAGAGCCAGTGCCAGGGAGTTGACAACTAACTTAAGACATGTTTGAAATCTTAATTGTGGCGTATAAAATCTTAAAATCTTATACCTTTAAACGAGCAATTCTTGTATCTTAATATATATATATATATATAATCTGAATCTCGGAAACGGCTCCAACGATTTTCATAAAATTTAGTATACAGGGGATTTCGGGGGCGATAAATCGATCTAGCTACGAATTATTTTCAGAAAATGTTGTTTTAATCGTGTTTTCAATTTTCAACTTTATCGATTGACTCTTCCCGACATCTATTGGTGAATAATAATACTATTAAGCTATTTCAGCAGATGGCGTTGTTAAGCCACCCGAAGCCAATGAGTATTTGGTTTAAGGTTAGACCAAGAAAATGAATTGTTTATTTATATTATTTGTGTCTTTTTCATATAAAATATAAAAAAAATACCGAGCAAAGCTCGGTCATCGTCTAGTATATAATAATTTGCGTAACTACTGGTGGTAGAGCCTCTTGTGAGTCCGAGCGGGTAGGTACTACGTTTCGGTTTCTTAGAACTTATATCTCAAGGTGGGTGGCGCATTTACGTTGTAGATGTCTATGAGCTTCAGTAACCACTTAAAACCAGGTGAGCTGTGAGCTCTTCCACCCATCTAAGCAATAAAAAAAGAGGTTTTTCTGAGCTCACAGACTTCACGACAGAGATATGCAGGTTGGTGAGGGGAACCCCCTTTCCGGTATCACAATACGCCCTACCGCTTCCTCTCACTTTTCAGCTCACTTACAAGCCTCGCCACAACGATCGGTCCTGCACTGTCTTCATCCAGGGCTTTGCCACGATTTTCAACAGGACAGGATGATCTTGAGGATGGCCCACTACTAGTACTAATTCATCATCCTTTTTCACTATAATTACGATACCGACTGCGAATAATGGATATTACCACACAAACTATCAGTTTTTTTTATTTATTTTTTTATTGCCTTTGTAGGCAGACGGGCATACGGCCCACCTGATGGTGAGTGGTTACCGTCGCCCATGGACTTCAGCAATGCCAGGGGCAGAGCCAAGCCGCTGCCTACCAGTGTTGGCATTTCGCGGGACCGGATTCCCAATTCACCGATCTCACAATTATTTTGTTCTTCTTTCAATCAGGCAAACTGGATCTTGTCTCTCGGCGAAGCGGTCACCAGCATACAGCAGGAGCGGATCCTCGTTGTCAAGTACCTATTCTTGGAGGCTACCGACTTGGACATGTGAGTTTTTACTGTCATACTTTACGCTAAGATGTATAGCCTACACGTTACTGTTACGACTTCGCTCTGTTGTCTGAGGGTCGCTTTTTTTTATTGCTTTTGTAGGCAGACGAGCATACAGCCTGTAGGTAAATGGTTACCGTCACTCATGGACGTTAGCAATGCCACGGGTAAAGCCAAGCTGCTGCCCACCATTTGGTCTACCATTTTGGCGGCACTCCCGTTGTAATGGTTACTACTTAATATTAAGTGGCCTATCCGTGTACAATGCTGGCGTTTTAAAAATATATTTTCTCAGTCAACGAACGAAGTCTCAATTGTGACATACGTTGCTGCTACTACCACTGGTATCCTGCTGTGAATAAGCCGCGTGCTCATTTGTATAAGTCGCTGCTGTCAATATGGCAGTGAGCTTGTATAAATTTAACATTGCAAACTCCAAAGTTCTTCGGAAGCAAGTTTTTACTCTAATAAAGCGCCAGAAATATATAACAAGACAAGTGACAGAGAGACAATAGTTAAATATAGTTCAACAACTCTCAACTTAGAAGTTACTCAACGAATCTCAACTGTTCCTTGGCTATTTCAACAAAACTATGTATAACGTCTGTGTAACACAAATAGAAGGCGTTCATTAATTTCGATGTTCTATTTATTCTATTGTTCTATCCTAGATATTCTATGTATGTTTTATTATATGTATATGTATAGATTATTCTATGTATGTTTTATTATATGTATATGTGTAGATTATTCTATGTATGTTTTATTATATGTATATGTATACATTATTCTATGTATATTTTTCATATTCGATATTTATGTCTGACTATTTTAAATAGCATAATCTGTATTTTTTGGTGGTTGATTTTTAATATTTTCTTACTACTAAAACTAGTTTTACGGTTTATACTATCTCAATAGTTTTAGCGAAATAATCAGATTAACAGAAGAACCATGGTCGTCTCGGCCATTAGAGTTTTGGTTCGACGTCCGGGTTTGTTTATTCTTTCTAGACAATAACATACCTTAACGCGCATCAGTTTATATTTGGTGGACATAATTAAAAACAGCTGAAGCGCGAGGTCAATGATCTCGACTGAGCCGGAGGGATTACGCCATTTGCCTGTACATTACGGGTCCAAAAAACACTTCTTATGATACTATTAAATGAAGTGGCGTATTCTGTTTCCTTTGAAGTTACTTTAAAATCATGGTTTCGATCAACACCCTGGTACAATTATAATAAAATAAAATAAATAATATAAAAAAAAAAAACTACGTTTTTATAGAAAATCCAACTAAAAATAGAAATAGTGGGGTGCTTTTCAGGATATTATCAAAATAACCCTTCTACTCTTATCTATTCATAAAATATTTATAACTATTGAGACTATGCACCCTACGCTTTTTTTACAATAAAATCATTTTTTCTTACACAATATTTTTTTTCAATTTTTCTAAATTTTCATCTGAATCAGTCGGTAACTTATCCAAGAAATAGGTGATCGGCGCGCCTATACTTTCTCTTCTTGGTCTTGACGCAGACCCTCCGGGTCTCAAGAAAACAAAAAATCGCTAATCCTGATTATTCTAGTAAGAATAACGGATCAAACTGTTTGAAATATTGAATTGTCATCGGTCCTTAATAAGTATGCCAAATTTCGAGTTAATCCGACGTTTTGAAGGGGTTCAAAATCATGTTCAAAGATTCCGTTACATATTAACATACGTATGAAGATAATAAAAGCGTATTAAAAATCGTAAGAATTTTTGTTCGCGCGTTTGTCATGTTGATATTCACAACGGCTTATTTTAGTTTGAACGTGGCTCTTAGTACTCTACAGGGTGTAGGATATTGTTTCCGAAGCTGAAAGTGTAATTAACTGCGACCCCTATTTTACAACGAAAACATTTGGTAACTTTTATTTTTTTTATTGCTTAGATGGATGGACGAGCTCACAGCCCACCTGGTGTTAAGTGGTTACTGGAGCCCATAGACATCTACAACGTAAATGCGCCACCCACCTCGAGATATAAGTTCTAAGGTCTCAGTATAGTTACAACGGCTACCCTACCCTTCGAACCGAAACGCATTACTGCTTCACGGCGGAAATAGGCGGGGTGGTGGTACCTACCCGTGCGGACTCACAAGAGGTCCTACCACCAGTGATTACGCAAATTATAATTTTGCGGGTTTGGTTTTTATTACACGATGTTATTCCTTCACCGTGGAAGTCAATCGTGAACATTTGTTGAGTACGTATTTCATTAGAAAAATTGGTACCCGCCTGCGGGATTCGAACACCGGTGCATCGCTTCAACACGAATGCACCGGAAGACTTATCCTTTAGGCCACGACGACTACGCTACGACTACTAACATACGTATGAAGCTAATAAAAGCGTATTAAAAATCGTAAGACTTTTTGTTCGTGCGTTTGTCATGTTGATATTCACAACGGCTAATTTAGTTTGAACGTGGCTCTCAGTACTCTACAGGGTGTAGGATATTGTTTCCGAAGCTGAAAGTGTAATTAACTGCAACCCCTAATTTACAACGAAAACATTTGTTAACTAATTTAAGCATAAATTATTATCACACACCGATATCCCATATTAACTCGAAATATTATTTTGTAATTTTAGATTTAAATTGGTACATTAATAAAATATGATTTCCGATATTTTTAGAAATAAGCCTTCGCTCTAAAAGTTTTGGGGACTTCGTCTACACATGCTGTATAAAGAGACCTAACGTTTTGTTAATTCAAATCGATTTTGTTTTTCAAAGGCCCCAGGGTTATACTTATATACGGTATCTAAATATATGTGTTGCAGAAATAATTTACATTTGCCAATAAGGCTCTGAGATTCCTTTTCCGGCTAAGCGAATATTGTTTTATAATTATATTGTTTTTTAACGGCCGTCTGGTGTAGTGGTAAGTGACATGGTCACTACATAAGGGGTCGCGGGTTCGAATCCCGCCAAGGGAAGATATTTGTATGATAAATATAAGTGTCTTTTCCAGGGTTATGGATGTATATTAAATATATGTATGTGTATAATAAAAATCTTACATTTATTTCCGTTATCTGGTACCTGTAACACAAGTTCTTTACGAATTTATCACGGGACCAGTTAACGTGGCGTGATTGTTAGTAAATATTTATATTATATGTTTATTTATATAATTTCGTTGAACAATGACGTCATTCTTTATCTTTTATCTTTATCCTTTAACTTCGTTGTCTTTTATCAACAGATTTTTCTTTTTGTTTTGCCTTGATCTTCTCTATTTGTGGTTAGCTTTTATGAGACTGTAAAAATATCAGCGAACACGCAAAATCGGGCACAAGATCGTAATAAATAACCTTAACAAATGGGGATATTTATGGTGGTAAAGTGACATTTTTTTTTTTGCAGAATACACCTTCGGGAAATTTTCTCCGTAACGGACGCGGGGCTCGAACGTTTCGGCACATTGGTGCCCGATTATTACAGATTCAATTTGTAGTGAGTATTATTTATTTAATGAATATTTATTTTCCCTCATAAAAAAATCCAAGTTTTAACGTGTTTGTCATGATTACGTACAACTTTTTTGTATCGATAACAAACAATGCGACATCTTGTATGTATATACATATTTCATTACAGCATTGGTGTTGTGATTAGTGAATATTATAATTTTGGATTAAATTATATACTGGATCAATCGCATTCTCCCGGCGGCTGTTTATTAATTGGTCTACCGAAGTCTACAGTCATCACGGAGTCACTACTATACTATATTATATTACTCCCACTATACTATATTAGTCGTACTATACCTATACTATATTACTCCCATTATACTATATTAGGCGTACTATATTATATTACTACCACTATACTATATTACCTCTACTATGATTAACATTATATAGTTGTGGAGATATTGATCAAATTCTTGCTTCTCTCTTCTCAATCTTGATCTATTCCAATTTCTACAGGAGACTGTAGACCAGGGTAAACCATAAGCAGTGTCGTTCAACAGTATTTGCAATAAGCAAAATCATTAGTACTATTACATTAGGGATTTCCAAACCGTTGAGGTTTATGCTCCAAAAAATTATACTGAACATATTTTATCTACATATTTGATTTTATCTGTGGTGCGACACGGTTTTATCAATTCAATAAAAGAGTACGGCCTCGATTCGCTTGAATTTTTTATTTGTGATAGCTTAGAGCCTTTCTCTAGATGAACCGATTTTGATTTTTAATTTTTCCATTTGTAACTGTTGTTTCCCATGTGGTTCCATATTTTAAAAAAAGTTGTATGGGATGGTGAAAGAGCACCGTAATATTTCGAAGTGTTCCCATTCTAAATTAGCGATGTTCTGATGAAGATCCTTGGTGTTATACAAACGGAGCTCTTTAATAAACGGCAGAAAATCTGCCGAGATTGCTGCAACCACATGCATATTGTATTCTTTAAATATTTTGATGAGGTTTTTGTTTGTTTATTAAAGCGGATTTTTTATTGTTAATTTTTCTTTATTTAAATATATTCTGCGGGTCGCACAAGTATGGAACGTGGGCCGCATTTAGCCGTGGTTTGGATCGTCCTAATATACGTCTGGGATTAATTCCAAGCAATGCGGCATTATCGCCGCCTGTGGCGCATTATATGTATTTTGTGCAAACAAAGTGTGGCTTGTGGCTCACTTGCTGACCTCGCTTGCTTACAATATGTTTTAATGTTTGTGGAGATTTGCAAAATTTATGGTATTGTACTTTTTTTTTAATAGTTGAAGTCGAAGTTTGAGTCGTCGTGGCCTAAAGGATAAGCCGACCGGTGCAATCGTATCTAGCTAGCGATGCATCGGTGTTCGAATCCCGCAGGCGCGGGTACATATTTTTCTAATGAAATACGTACTTAACAATTGTTCGCGATTGAATTCTACGGTGAAGGAATGACATCGTGTAATAAAAATCAAACCTGCAAAATTATGATTTGCGTAATCACTGGTGGTAGGACCTCTTGTGAGTCCGCACGAGTAGGTACCACCACCCTGCCTATTTCTGCCGTGAAGCAGTAACGCGTAGGGTAGGGTGGCCGTTGTAACTATACTGGGACCTTAGAACTCATATCTCAAGGTGGGTAGCGGCATTTGCGTTGTAGATGTTATCCTGAGAAAAGGTAATAGTTTGGATTATTAGATCATAAATACCTTATGGACTGATTAAAATTTACTCTAACAGGTCCTATTGGTATTTTAAAAGGCGATGTTTACAGTATGCATTATAATGTAACAAATGTTTACGTCATAACATTGATTAATGGTATGATGCGATAGGTACTGCTCTCGAGATTATTTCATTCGCCAAGCTGTAATGCGTTTAGGCTTGTATCGGTTAGTAGCTATTTATTCAGTGATCAATATGCGTAAAAATCTTCAGGCGTGATCGAGTGTGTTTATTTACGGCTAAAACAGGCGCCCGATTTATCGCGACACGGCCAATGTCGAAAATAATCCCGACATTAAGGCGGACTTCACACAAACTACAAAATTTTATTGTTATAAGAAATATCGCTACAGGAATTTGATTAATAGAGTTTATTAAGGTTTATGGTACACACAGTCTTATCTGCGGTCGTTCCGGGAGTCTATATGCTACTATATAAATCTGTGAATGTTATTGCCGTAGACTCAAGGTCGATTTTACTATGACGAAGAAAGCCATCTCAAGGTAACGGATTTGGTAGGCAATACACGATTTCTTCGTTAAAATAGACAAAAGATCATGTTTGTTCCGAATGGTTGCGAAAAATATAGTTTCCTTATTATATTTTTGCTTAGACGGGTGAATGAGCTCACACGGACCACCTGGTGTTATTCAGTCATCGGAGCTTAAATTCTGTCTTAATTGTAGTATAGTAATTACGTTGATTTGTGTAAAGATTATCGACAAGTTTGGTTTTTAATTACTCAATGTATTATGTACTCAATGTAATTCCTTCATCGTACAAGTAATTTGTGACCGTGAGTTAAGTTTACAATTTGTCCGGTGAGAAATTACTACCGGTTGACAGGATTTTGAACGCCTAGTCATATCGCTCGATACGAATACACCGGGAGTCTTATCCTTTACTTATAAAACACATAATAATAATAAAGAATAATAATAATAAAATCATTTATTGCCTTTCACACATATTTAGATTATTACAGGTAGATAAAAAAAGAAAAGAACAACAAAGTGAAAATTGAAGTTTGCTCAGCTAATGCTGTAAGCATATCTTAAGCTCTTGTCATTCTAGCCAAATTTCGTGTGCAATTTTATGTACCATCGAAGGCTTCATCAATATTCCAGCACAAGCGAATCGTGAACTGTGATACGTTTTTAAAAATAAGCCTAGTTAATCTATATCTATACTAACTAGAGGTCCCGCAGTAGTCGAAATTCGACTATAATTAATTGGAATTGTAAGTTTGTACACTATTATGATTGTATTTTATACTTCTATAATCACAAATTTCGCCAAGACTACACTATAAAAAATATTAACAAAGGCAAAAAATATTTAATCTATTCTCAATTTGACAACAGACGCCAAGAACAAAAGTTTGACAATAAATAGTATGCATGCGTGTGTGCATCAAATAAATGGTATGTAGTGTGTGTAAGTTTTTCTTTATTGATTTAATGTATCTTTTATGCATTATTTTAAAAAAATATTAGCATTGTGCACTTCTTCTCTATATTCTCTATAAGTGTGAAAAATTTCATACTCCTCCGTCCGCGCAATTTTCGTAAAAAGGGATACAAAGTTTTTGCTTCACGTATTAATATATAGATATATAAATCTACAGTGGTTTTTACGGATGTTCCATTATAACTACTGAACCATGCATCCGATTGACTTGAAACTTGATATCCGTGTAGAAAATACATGTACTTAATGGATAGGCTAATATTTATAGGAGTGTTGGATTCCCTAAAAATAATGACAATAAATACAATAATGCTAATTTTAAATGCCCAGCGAAGCGGGCGAGTACGGTTACAATATCTATATAATATTAACACAAGAAGCAAAAACTTTGTACCCCTTTTAACGAAAAATGCGCCGTCGGAGAAGTATGAAATTTCCCACACTTTTAGAGAATTTAGAGAAGGGGTCCAGAATGCATTTTTCTTAAATTGTGCATAAAAAATACATTAAATCAATAAAATAAATAAAATAAAATACACACACTACCATAGACACACACATTTAAACTCTTTTGTTTATCGTTAAAGTCTGTGATTAAATTAAGAATAGATTATATTGCTTGTCTTTAATATTATTTGTCTATAGTAGCTTTGGCCAAATCTGTTATTAAAGAAGTACCTATAGGTTTTGACAATAGAACCATAATATTATATTAGTTGTCATACTTATAATTTTAATTAATTATGGTCGAATTTCGACTACCGGGGGACCACTAGTATACTTTAAATTGCTGATAATATTTAACTTATATTTTTGTATGTAAGGGGTGTTTGTGCTGTTTGCGACAGTGTGCCCTAAGCCTTACAGTTTCTTAGAATTTATTGACGTCAATACGTCAATGATATGCAGAAGCGGCTCATGTCGTTTATAAGGCTGTTTAGCGATATTTGACCGGGGTTAACTGCCCGGAATTTCGGTAGAGGAATGTATAATTGGGTCACGAATTGTTGACTTTTTTTTTATTGCTTAGATGGGTGGACGAGTTCACAGCCCACCTGGTGTTAAGTGGTTACTGGAGCCCATAGACATCTACAATGTAAATGCGCCAACCACCAATCTTGAGACAAAAGTTCTAAGGTCTCAGGTATAGTTACAACGGCTGCCCCACCCTTCAAACCGAAACGCATTACTGCTTCACGGCAGAAATAAGCAGGGTGGTGGTACCTACCCACGCGGACTCTCAAGAGGTCCTACCATCAGTAATGAGTTGAGATGAGTGACTTATTATATTACTAATATATATGTAGGTGTGGGTCTAAATGAAATCACTCTTTTCTAGGGTTTCACAATACTTTTTATTTAATTCTTAGAGAGCACTTTGAACACGTCTTACTCCTAATGGCGGCGTCGTGCGAGAGAGAACTCGAGCTACATCCGTCCCTTTCACACATCATGCGTTCAGAATCTTTCACTCGTTCAGAAATGTTTTACAATAATTAGAAATGTTAGTAATAATTAAATCCTACAACTCGGCCTTCCTGCACATCAGTCTGGCCTCAGACTGAAAGTACTGAGATAATAAAATAGTTCTTATGAATTAAAAATAAAAATAACAAAAATAAAATCTCTAACTTNAAAAAAAAAAAAAAAAAAAAAAAAAAAAAAGGTTTGAAGGGTGGGGCAGCCGTTGTGACTATACTGAGACCTTAGAACTATATCTCAAGGTGTGTGGCGCATTTACGTTGTAGATGTCTATGGGCTCTAGTAACCACTTAACACCAGGTGGGCTGTGAGCTCGTCCACATACATAAGCAATAAAAAAAAAATTGTTACTACTTAACATTAGGTGGCCTATCCGTGTACAGTGCTGGCGTTTTAAAAATATATTTTCTCAGTCAACGAACGAAGTCTCAATTGTGACATATGTTGCTACTCGTACTGCTACCGTTGGTATTCTGCTGTGAATAAGCCGCGTGCTCATTTGTATAAGTACCTGCTGTCAATATGGCAGTGAGCTTGTATAAATTGGACATTGCAAACTTCACAGTTCCTCCGAAGCAAGTTTTTACTCTAATAAAGAAATATATAACAAGACAAGTGACAGAGAGACAATAGTTAAATATAGGTCAACAACTCTCAACTTAGAAGTTACTCAACGAATCTCAACTGTTCCTTGGCTATTTCAACAAAACTATGTAAAGTCTATGTAACACAAATAGAAGGCGTTCATTAATTTCGATGTTCTATTTCTTCTATTGTTCTATTCTACATATTATCAACCGTATCTTCTATGTATATTTTTCAGGAAAAAAAATTTGCTTTCGATATTGACGTCTGACTGTTTTACATCGCACAATCTGTATTGTTTGGTGGTTGATTTTTAATATGTTCTTACTACTAAAACTTGTTTTACGGTTTATATTATTTCAATAGTTTTAGCGAAATGATCAGATTAACAGAAGAACCACGGTCGTCCTGGCCATTAGAATTTTGGTTCTGCGTTCTTTTTTGTATATTTTATCTTATTATATCTAACGAGCAATTCTTGTATATAATCTGAATCTCAGAAACGGCTCCAACTCGATTTCGGGGGCGATAACTCGATCTAGCTACGATTTATTTTCAGAAAATGTTGTTTTAATCGTGTTTTCAATAATCACCTTTATCGATAATTTTGACTTTTTCTTTTAATAACCAGTTCATATTTTATTATTATTCTGTCGGTAAGATCGAAAAACCTTATTCATATTTTATCATTTTATCAATATGTAATTCGTATTTAAATATAATATCTAAAAGAGACAATTTAACAAAAAAAAAAAAATCCGAGCAAGGCTCGGTCATCCAGGAACTTCTTTCTAAACAATAAAATATCTTAACGCGCATCAGTTTATATTTGGTGGACACAATTAAAAACAGCTGACGCGCGAGGTCAATGGTCTCGACTGAGCCGGAGGGATTACGCCATTTGCCTGTACATTACGGGTCCAAAAAACACTTCTTATGATACCATTAAATGAAGTGGCGTATTCTGTTTCCTTTGAAGTTACTTTAAAATCATCGTTTCGATCAAAACCCTGGTACAATTATAATAAATTAAAATAAATAATATTTAAAAAAAAAACTACGTTTTTATAGAAAATCCAACTAAAAAATAGAAATAGTGGGGTACTTTTCAGGATATTATCAAAATAACCCTTCTACTCTTATCTATTCATAAAATATTTATAACTATTGAAACCATGCACCCTACGCTTTTTTTACAATAAAATAATTTTTTCTTACACAATATTTTTTTTCAATTTTTCTAAATTTTCATCTGAATCAGTCGGTAACTTATCCAAGAAATAGGTGATCGGCGCGCCTGGTAGTTTCTCTTCTTGGTCTTGACGCAGACCCTCCGGGTCTCAAGAAAATAAAAAATCGCTAATTCTGATTATTCTAGTAAGAATAACGGATCAAACTGTTTGAAATATTGAATTGTCATCGGTCCTTAATAAGTATGCCAAATTTCGAGTTAATCCGACGTTTTGAAGGGGTTCAAAATCATGTTCAAAGATTCCGTTACATACTAACATACGTATGAAGCTAATGAAAGTGTTTAAAAAATCGTAAGACTTTTTGTTCGTGCGTTTGTCATGTTGATATTCACAACGGCTTATTTAGTTTGAACGTGGCTCTCAGTACTCTACAGGGTGTAGGATATTGTTTCCGAAGCTGAAAGTGTAATTAACTGCGACCCCTAATTTACAACGAAAACATTTGTTAACTAATTTAAGCATAAATTATTATCACACACCGATATCCTATGTCAACTCGAAATATTATTTAGTAATTTTAGATTTAAATTGGTGCATTAATAAAATACTAGAGGTCCCACACTAGTCGAAATTCGACTATAATTAATTGGAATTGTAAGTTTGTACACTATTAAGATTGTATTTTACACTTCTATAATCACAAATTTCGCCAAGACTACACTATAAAAAATATTAACAAAGGCAAACAATATTTAATCTATTGTCAATTTGACAACAGACATCAAGAACAAAAATTTGACAATAAATAGTATGCATGCGTGTGTGCGTCAAATACATGGTATGTAGTGTGTGTAATGTTTTCTTTATCGATTTAATGTATCTATTATGCATTATTTAAAAAAAAATTAGCATTGTGCACTTCTTCTCTATATTCTCTATAAGTGTGGAAAATTTCATACTCCTCCGTCCGCGCAATTTTCGTAAAAAGGGATACAAAATTTTTGCTTCACGTATTAATATATAGATGATTTTCGATATTTTTAGAAATAAGCCTTCGCTCTAAAAGTTTTGGGGACTTCGTCAACACATGCTGTATAAAGAGACCTAACGTTTTGTTAATTCAAATCGATTTTGTTTTTCAAAGGCCCCAGGGTTATACTTATATACGGTATCTACATATATGTGTTGCAGAAATAATTTACATTGGCCAATAAGGCTCTAAGATTCCTTTTCCGGCTAAGCGAATATTGTTTTATAATTATATTGTTTTTTAACGGCCGTCTGGTGTAGTGGTAAGTGCCATGGTCACTACACAAGGGGTCGCGGGTTCGAATCCTGCCAAGGGAAGATATTTGTATGATAAATATAAGTGTCTTTTCCAGGGTTATGGATGTATATTAAATATATGTATGTGTATAATAAAAATCTTACATTTATTTCCGTTATCTGGTACCTGTAACACAAGTTCTTTACGAACTTATCACGGGACCAGTTAACGTGGCGTGATTGTAAGTAAATATTTATATTATATGTTTATTTATATAAATTCGTTGAACAATGACGTCATTCTTTACCTTTTATCTTTATCCTTTAACTTCGTTGTCTTTTATCAACAGATTTTTCTTTTTGTTTTGCCTTGATCTTCTCTATTTGCGGTTAGCTTTTATGAGACTGTAAAAATATCAGCGAACACGCAAAATCGGGCACAAGAACGTAATAAATAAACTTAACAAATGGGAATATTTATGGTGGTAAAGTGACATTATTTTTTTTGCAGAATACACCTTCGGGAAATTTTCTCCGTAACGGACGCGGGGCTCGAACGTTTCGGCACATTGGTGCCTGATTATTACAGATTCAATTTGTAGTGAGTATTATTTATTTAATGAATATTTATTTTCCCTCATCAAAAAATGCAAGTTTTAACGTGTTTGTCATGATTACGTACAGCTTTTTTGTATCAAATAACACACAATGCGACATCGTGCAAGTACATAATATGAATTTCATTACAGCATTGGTGTTGTGATTAGTGAATATTATAATTTTGGATTAAATTTTATACTGAATTGATCGCATTCTCCAGGCGGCTGTTTATTAATTGATCTACCAAAGTCTACAGTAATTACGGAGTCACTACTATACTATATTACTCCCATTATATTATATTTATACTATATTACTGCCATTATACTATATTACCTCTAATATGACTAACATTATATAGTTGTGGAGACATTGATCACATTCTTGAATTTCTCTTCTCAATCTTGATCTATTCCAATCTCGACAGGAGATTGTAGACTGTAGGGTAAACTATAATGGGCAGTGTCATTTGCAAGTATTTGCAAGAAACATACTCATTAGTACTGATTTTACATTAGGGATTTCCAGGCCGTTGATGTTTATGCTCCAAAAAAATAATACTGAACGTATTTTATCTACATATTTGATTTTATCTGTGGTGCGACACGGTTTTGTCAATTCAATAAAAGAGTAGGGTCTCGATTCGCTTGAATTTTTTATTTATGATAGCTTAGAGCTTTTCTCTAGGTGAACCGATTTTGATTTTTAATTTTTCTATTTGTAACTGTTGTTTCCCATGTGGTTCCATATTTTTAAAAAAGTTGTATGAGATGGTGAAAGAGCACCGTAATATTTCGAAGTGTTCCCATTCTAAATTAGCGATGTTCTGATGAAGATCCTTGGTGTTATACAAACGGAGCTCTTTGATAAACGGCAGAAAATCTGCCGAGATTGCTGCAAATACGACATGCATATTGTATTCTTGAAATATTTTAATAAATTTTTTGTTTGTTTATTAAAGTGGATTGTTTATTGTTATTTTTTCTTTATTTAAATATATTCTGCGGGTCACACAAGTATGGAACGTGGGCCGCATTCAGCCGTGGTTTGGATCGTCCTAATATACGTCTGTGTGGGATTAATTCCGAGCAATGCGGCATTATCGCCGCCTGTGGCGCATTATATGTATTTTGTGCAAACAAAGTGTGGCTTGTGGCTCACTTGCTGACCTTCAGCTTACAATACGTTTTAATGTGTGTGGAGATTTGCAAAATTTATGGTATTGTACTTTTTTTTAACAGTTGAAGTCGAAGTTTGAGTCATCGTGGCTTAAAGGATAAGCCGACCGGTGCAATCGTATCTAGCTAGCGATGCATCGGTGTTCGAATCCCGCAGGCGGGTACCAATTTTTCTAATGAAATACGTACTTAACAAATGTTCAGTTCCACTGTGAAGGAATAAAATCGTGTAATAAAAATCAAACCTGCAAAATTATGATTTGCGTAATTGCTGTTGGTAGGACATCTTGAGTCTGCACGGGTAGGTACCATCACCCTGCCTATTTTCCACCGTGAAGCGTGAAGCGTGAATGCGCTTCGGTTTGAAGGGTGGGGCGGCCGTTGTAACTATACTGGGACCTTAGAACTCATATCTTAAGGTGGGTAGCGGCATTTGCGTTGTAGATGTTATCCTGAGAAAAGGTAATAGTTTGGATTATTAGATCATAAAGACCTTATGGACTGATTAAAATTTACTCTAACAGGTCCTATTGGTATTTTAAAAGGCGATGTTTACAGTATGCATTATAATGTAACAAATGTTTACGTCATAACATTGATTAATGGTATGATGTGATAGGCATTGCACTCCAGATTATTTCATTCGCCAAGCAATCATGTATTTCGGTTTGTATCGGTTAGTAGTTATTTATTCAGTGATCAATATGCGTAAAAATCTTCAGGCGTGATCGAGTGTGTTTATTTACGGCTAAAACAGGCGCCCGATTTATCGCGACACGGCCAATGTCGAAAATAATCTCGACATTAAGGCGGACTTCACACAAACTACAAAATTTTATTGTTATAAGAAATATCGCTACAGCAATTTGATTAATAGCATTTATTAAGGTTTATGGTACACACGGTCTTATCTGCGGTCATTTCGGGAGTCTATATGCTACTATATAAATCTGTGAATGTTATCGCCGTAGACTTAAGGTCGATTTTACTATGACGATGAAAGCCATCTCAAGGTAACGGATTTGGTAGGCAATACACGATTTCTTCGTTAAAATAGACAAAAGATCATGTTTGTTCCGATTGGTTGCGAAAAATATAGTTTCCTTATTATATTTTTGCTTAGACGGGTGAATGAGCTCACGGACCACCTGGTGTTATTCAGTCATCGGAGCTTAAATTCTGTCTTAATTGTAGTATAGTAATTACGTTGATTTGTGTAAAGATTCTTGACAAGTTTGGTTTTTAATTACTCAATGTAATTCCTTTATCGTACAAGTAATTTGTGACCGTGAGTTAAGTTTACAATTTGAAAAATTAGTACCGGCTGACAGGATTTTGAACACCTATAGTAGAATTATTTTGTCCGTGCAGTTTGGGTCATAAAAAATCGGAGCGGTGAAGCGAGTATTTCGCTCTCTCTTCCACTCACGAGCCTTATGGACGGGCATAGTGATGCGTATTATTGTTGTCGATAAGCGTTATCGATAGTGTATTTAGTTTTGTCATTTTGTGGGTTAGTGATAAAAATGAAAGAAAAAATCACTAATCGAACACTTACACAACATATCACCGCAGCAAGTTAACGAGAACGGCAGAAATTAATAGTTTGTAACTTTTCGGGATCTATTCTTATTTCAGTGAAAATTTTTAACACATTGTTAATAACAACATGTGCAAATATTATTTTGAATAAACTCTGACGTTTTGATACAAAACAAAGGAGTAGCCATTTTGTCACTAAAGAAATTAAGAGAACGAATGCATAAAAACACATTTCTCTTCCACAAAATGTACTACAATTTGCAGGTAAGTACAAATGACATACATATTATAATAACATAACAATGTCTCACCACCCTTCGTATACCACCCCGCCTCCGTGTACCTGCCTTCGATGACTCATTTGTTTTTATCGATAATGGCGTTGCGCCCGCGCAACATGCTCACCGCCCTAGCCGGCCTATGTTTTATGACCCAAACTGCACGGACAAAATAATTCTACTATAGTCATATCACTCGATACGAATACACCGGGAGTCTTATCCTTTATTTATAAAACACATAATAATAATAATAAAAGCATTTATTGCCTTTCACACATATTTAGATTATTACAGGTAGATAAAAAAAAAAAAGAACAACAAAGTGAAAATTGAAGGTTGCTCAGCTAATGCTAATGCTAATATCTTAAGCTCTTGTCATTCTAGCCAAATTTCGTGGGCAATTTTATACACCATCGAAGGCTTCATCAATATGGGTCAAGTAATTTTTATTCCAGCACAAGCGATTCGAGAACTGTCATACGTTTTTTAAAATAAGCCTAGTTATCAATATCTATATATGTATTACGATACGTATACGAGAAGCAAAAACATTGTACCCCTTTTAACGAAAAATGCGCCGTCGGAGAAGTATGAAATTTCCCACACGTATAGAGAATATAGAAAAGGGGTGCAGAATGCTACTATTTTTTAAATTATGCATAAAAAATACATTAAATCAATAAAAAAAAACATTACACTACCATTGACGCACACACGCATTTAAACTCTTTTGTTTATCGTTAAAGTCTGTTATCATATTAAGAATAGATTATATTGCTTGTCTTTAATATTGTTTGTCTATAGTGTAGCTTTGGCCAAATCTGTTATTAAAGAAGTACCTATAGGTTTTGACAATAGAACCATAATATTATATTAGTTGTCATACTTATAATTTTAATTAATTATGGTCGAATTTCGACTACCGGGGGACCACTAGTATACTTTAAATTGCTGATAATATTTAACTTATATTTTTGTATGTAAGGGGTGTTTGTGCTGTTTGCGACAGTGTGCCCTAAGCCTTACAGTTTCTTAGAATTTATTGACGTCAATACGTCAATGATATGCAGAAGCGGCTCATGTCGTTTATAAGGCTGTTTAGCGATATTTGACCGGGGTTAACTGCCCGGAATTTCGGTAGAGGAATGTATAATTGGGTCACGAATTGTTGACTTTTTTTTATTGCTTAGATGGGTGGACGAGTTCACAGCCCACCTGGTGTTAAGTGGTTACTGGAGCCCATAGACATCTACAATGTAAATGCGCCAACCACCAATCTTGAGACAAAAGTTCTAAGGTCTCAGGTATAGTTACAACGGCTGCCCCACCCTTCAAACCGAAACGCATTACTGCTTCACGGCAGAAATAAGCAGGGTGGTGGTACCTACCCACGCGGACTCTCAAGAGGTCCTACCATCAGTAATGAGTTGAGATGAGTGACTTATTATATTACTAATATATATATCGCTAATTTTAAACCTTTTATGTTTGTTTTGATGGTTTTATTACGCATTTTTATTGAGGTTCACAAATGAAGGCAGGTATCTATTTAGAAAAAATAAATTTAACAAAATGTCAAGTTTTAACTGTTAACTTGAATTCTAGTTTAATAAATAAGTGCTCTTTATAATAAAACTCTGTTTTATTTAGAGACTTTTGATCAAAGTATTTTAGATTAATAATATTTCATGTATAATTTCAAGCCGCGAAGCAGAAAACCGCAATGAAATATTAAGTAACTACCTACTTAAACCCATAACAAATTCAATCTTGTTAGGCTTTTTGTTACTTATTTCAAGGATTCTATAAGTTCGTCGAGTGGGTAAGCCGCAGAAAACCCTCATCTCTCGTAGTGAAGTACCACGAACAAAAATCTTTTTAAGTTATTGTTCCGCTTATATTGAACGTTTTATGCCGAGATTCATAGCTATACACTTGTTTCTTGGATAGAGAGAGGACTATAATAATTTTTAGTATTTAGCGTGTTTTTTTTTGGCTTTTTTCCCCTGCCTAAGCGTTGGTAGCCTAAGGGGCTATTCCAACATCGCGCGGATTGGGGGCTTTTGTAGGCAGACGAGCATACGGCCCAATTTATGGTGAGTGGTTACCGTCGTTCATGGCTGTCAGTAATGGCAGGAGCAGAGCCAAGCCGCTGCCTACCGTAAAATACTCTTCACAAGCCTCGTTTGAAGAATGACATGTCGTAGCGCTCGAGAGAAACCGTAGAGGGGGTTTCATTCCAAAACCGAAAGGTACGTGGAAGAAAAGATCTCTGGAAACGCATTGCGGATTAATGTGGATGAACGCAGTAGTTTTACTTGGTATGGATTAACTCTGCTTCGGTGGCGGTGCGATGGTAAAAATGAGAAGACGGGATTACCTCAAACAATTACTCAGAGCACTCCTCATGCTACATACGGCACAAAACACAGAGAGAACCGAATCCCTTCTGTAGATAGGTTCTAAGTGATCCGCGGGAATGGGTTATTGATCATCCGTCACTAATGGTGGTAGGGTGTATTCATGGGTAGGTACCACTTTCCTCCCATATCTGCCGCAAATAAATGCAATCGTATATATGTGTCACGAAAGTCCCATCAAACTGGAAGACACGAATGCTACCCTACAGAAATGAACAAGATACTGGACATACATCACAAATTATTCACCAATGCAAAAAGTATTGATACTTTTAGTTTTTTTGTAAATGCGCCATCCACCTCGAGATATAAGTTCTATGGTCTCAGTATAGTTACAACGGCTGCCCCGCCCTTCAAATCGAAACGCATTACTGCTTCACGGCAGAAATAGGCAGGGTGGTGGTACCTACCAGTGCGGACTCTTAAGAGGTTCTACCACCACCACCAAATTCGAAATGAAAATAAATAAGTTATTATTCGCGAATCATAGACATAATTAAAGTCACTTTTATGTTTTAATCTCGAGTTTTTTTTATCGTCGCTACGTTATTTACAATGTTTGGAATACTTTATTGTTTTCGTGGTTTTACGAGCGACTGATCAAAATAAATTACTTCACTTTGAATGTCATTGAACATTAATATTTTGTTTAGAATAGGGTTCATGTGGCAATAACAGATCAGTCTGAGTATAATAATAAGGGTCCATAAGATGACAAGCCCTTGAAACAGAAGGTCATGGTCTCAATTATATTAATAATAAGGGATAAGGGTTTTGCTAAGCTTCAATGTCTTCAATACGTAGTTTTGTAGCAAGTTAGTATCGTCATTTATTAATAGGCAGCTTTACTACTGGAGAACGAGCTTACAGGAAGATCACTTCTTATTACCGGCACTATTTCTTTTTGCACAGGCTGTATAGACTAACTCACGGTGTTAATTGGTCATCGAAGATATAACAAAGCAAATCTCAACTTGACATTTGAGTTATTAGGACACTGCAATAGTTTTAATTTAATAATTGAAATACTCTTATAATCAGAATGATGAATCATTGAATAAAATTACTTGGCTAATTTTGTAGGTTAATTTTTTAGACAATTTTGCAATGAAATAAATTTTATGTTGTATAAAAATGTAATAGAGACTTAGTCTAAGCATCACAAGAAAGATAATAATTGAAAAACTGAAGTTCATTTTCAAAATGTTGAATTATATTGAAGTACTTTTTGTATCTTTGCAAGAAATAAAATAATTGACATAAATAACTACGTGCTTTGTTTGTTTACTATTGTCCCACTATAGTCATTACTACAGCGGTAAAACGGGAAGGGGAAATCGAGTCGCAATTTTTTTTTATAAAAAAAAAATTATAGCCCATTTATTTATACTCACGGAGGCTTTCGGCCGATGGCGCTTGCCATAAATTACCAAAAAAAATGTAGTGATTACAGTTTCCACATATTTATGATTTGATGAAGAAACTTGTATGCTTTTGATAAAACCCGTACCATTAGTTTACATAATGGGATACAAATGGGATGATCTTCAAGCGTGCGGGTGAAATTGCTCGTTAGACCGACGGTCCGAATGTTGTTACTCGGAACTTGTATATATGTAAGCTTATCTTGACAATGTCGTGAGCGAGATTCAGGCATCGGTTAAGTATCTTGTGTAGAGAGAAGATGCACGCATGTGATTAAGGGATGTACGGAAATTTAAGTACAAGGTAGAGGGGGAAGAGGTCGACCGAAGAAGACATGGATGGAGTGTGTGAATGACGATATGAGTGAGAGAGGAGTGAGTGTTGAGATAACTGCTGATGGAAGAGAATGGAATAGAAAGTTCGCTGTGCCGATCCCACCCAGTGGGATAAGGTGGACAAAAAGAAGAAGTTAAGTATCTTGTGTTTTTGATGGCTACCCGCCACAAAATGCTTAATACAAGAAGTTGACTTGAATGTAGCATTGTCGTGAGGCTTAGGGGAGGCCCACGTCAGTATGTCCAGCAGAAAGCGTCGGGGGGCTAAAAGATAGATAGTTAAAAAAAATAGCAAGTGGAAAAGTTTCAAAAACAAACCTTCAAATTTCGATATCTAACTAAGATAGCGCCCGTACGAGTTTAAACGATGCTTGATCCAGATACACGTGTGTTTCGGTAACGGAAACGAATTCAGTTTAACACAACAGCGAGTCATGTGTAATTAATAGTGATATGTATATTTTACATGCAGTCACCTGCGGGAGGATATAATGAATATTAAGTAAGTACAAATTAATTTTGTATGCGTAAAGCTAAATCTGTGAAAGCCTTACGAATATATATTAAATAATTCATATTGTTATTATAAATTCTGATTCCGGCCCTGTTGTGTGGAATAAATTGAGACACGTTTTACAGGAAACGACATGTCGTGTAGGTACATTGTGATTTTGATGCGCGAAAGAAATTAATTAATTTTATGTATTAATATCTTTATTAAATGTAGTTATTTTATTTGCTTATATGGGTGAACTAGCTCAGAGCCTAGCTGGTTACATCTGATTGGAACGCATAGCCACTTCACGCAGAAATAGGTAATAGGCAATAGGAAATAGGTCGTAGTAGAGTGGTAGCATTTACGTTGATAATGTCTATGGGCTCCGGTAGCCACTTAACACCAGGTGGGCCGTGTTCTCGTTTATCCATGTAAGCAATAAAAAAACTTAGGAACGTATTAGTTGCATTTATTTTGTTGAGAGTATGAACGCATTTGAAGAAGCCGTATAAGATAACGGACTTTGGAATCTGTATTTTTTTGTGTGCTTATTGCGAGTTTTTAACTTTCTCGATAGCGTAAAAGTAAACTCAAATTTGTATGGAGTTGGAACGTTCGCCTACGTATGCCGCTAGGGGCGCTGTTACAACTGCATACAGATGTGTTCATACTTTCAATATTTTCATAAAACATATCAATGTGAAAATTTAAGATATTTTTGCATACCCTCAAAATTGAGGGTAAGCTGAATCGACCAATAAAAGTATCAAAAGATGTAGGTGATGGGGTGGTGCCTTAATAAATCAGTGCCAAAACATGTCAGTTTTAGGTGCCGTTTCTCATTGTTCATTTTCCGCCAACAAAAAGTGCCACAAAAAACTCCGTTCCCAAAACATATAGTAGTGCAACAGATAAACTTTAAAATCTGTTTCTTAATTCAGTTTTCCAAACCGATTCCTGACGATTCTGTCTGTGGAAGATTCGTCATCAATAATAACTGATGGTTTTCTTTCAGGAATTTAAACAAAAGCGAGACATACAAAAGGATTATCGTGTATTCGAATGTTAACAAGGTTTTGTTAAAGCAAGTGAACAGGGCAGTCAAATCTGTGATCTCTTCAATATGGCGGTGAGTTTCGTAGATGTCTATGAAGCTATAAACTAATCCCGGGTGCGGCAGTCGGCAGTATAGATGTCGGTAAACTTAAAATTCTTCTTTAAGGAGGTAGGGCGCAATTGTAGGCCCGCATGGGTAGGTACCAAAGCTCTGTTTGTTTCTGCCGTCCGTATTTACTGTAGAAACTTTCGAGGTAAATACTCTATTAGTATGGGATTATGTTGACGTTAAGTGTGTCATCAACTTAGAGGCCTTGTTTTTCGAAACTTCGTGCGTTCAGAAGTTTTGGAAATAATTGTTTTAGGGATCATAACTAATGCAATCGTAGCTGCGTAGGTCCCGCTTTGTCATAAGCGATTCGCTTTCTTTTCCGGACTACATCTCACCTTCAGACTAATAAAATTTCACGTAGCCATCAGGGATGTCACGTGGCTTTAGTATGGTTTCACACCGGATCCCAGGACGCTAACACAAATTATCGATTACCGTCGCGGCCAGCCCACATTATACATCTGTGTGTATTCCAGACAATTATCCGCGTGCGAAGAGCTTTTGAAAGCTGCAGAACAGTTGTCTTTAGCTTCGACCGAAGTCATACGCAGTTCAAGCTCCGAAAGCGACACGTCTCCGATTGAATTTCAACTGAACAGCTTCGAGTTATTAGAATCGACTAAACAGTACTTGGAACTGGAGAAGATGGTGGAAGAAGTCAAAATTATGGACGAAATAATAGCTATGTGAGTACATAGAGTATTCGATCTCTTATTAGTGTATCATTTAGGTCTGGTTTGTCTAATACAGATTTAATACGGTCGAATTCGTGATAAAAGAAATTCGACATTCAGTGTGTTTGTTTTCATGTATTATATTAATATGTATTATAATATTTTCTTCGGTAATCAAGATTAGACATACGGTAAGCGAATCGCTTTGACGCATTAGTGATTTTGTTGTTGTATGATACATATATAAATATGTACTTTTGGTTGTGTGAATATATCTGATTTCGTGCCAACCGAGCGTAATTTGGAAGTGTTGGTTCTTTTTTTAATTCGAAGAAAACGGTGGCTGAAGGGCATCGAATTCTCCAAAAAGTTTAAGGCGACGCTGCTCTGAACTAATTAAACATTACTTATTTATGCATTACTTATGCTAAAAAAAGAAAACCATCACCTAGATTTAGTTGCACTGTTAGTACCTAACAATTTATTTATTTATTTATTGTTTTTCATGTTAACATGTACCTAAATCTTTTCTATTCTCATAGTAATTATAGATTTCTATTCTATTATATTTTAATTTTTTTTTTATTGCTTCGATGGGTCGACCAGGTCACAGCCCACCTGGTGTTAAGTGGTTACTGGAGCCTATAGACATCTACAATGCGTCACCCACCTTGAGATATAAATTCTAAGATATTAGTATAGTTACAACGGCTGCCCCACCCTTCAAACCGAAACGCATTACTGCTTCACGGCAGAAATAGGCAGGGCGGTGAAACCTACCCGTGCGGACACACAAGAGGTCTACCACCAGTAAAAATGTCAAGTACATTCATTTAATTAGAGGAAATTCTAGAGTAAGTAGATTCACGACCTAAAATAGTAACTTTATGGACGAGGTGTTTCTGTAAGCAATTAGTTTGTTTTTCACATTGTAAAGCTCTAAAGCTATATTTGTTTGTCTTTAACGCGAACACAGCAATTTTATCATAAGCTTTCCTAATAGATGGCGAAAAGCATATTAAGTTCGTTCAGAAGTTAATTAAACGCGAATTATCCTCTTTGTTTTCAATTATATATTACGCAGATTAATTTTCCTTTAACCCAAACTGATCCCTTCCAAGGATCATTAGACCCTCCTCCGTTCATCGACATTCATTGTTAGCTTTAAGAAACATTTGAAACATTCGATATCTGCCAAACTTCACTATTATGAAGATCTGAGTTAATTAACTCAGTTTTGTGCCAAGGGTATAATTTTGGGATCGTTGTACATACTAGGTAACATAGACGATATTTTGTGCATGTAAGGATCTTCTACTGTCTATCCACATTGGGTGTGTCAAACAATTTAGAAACGAACTCTATTTAATTTACGGTATAATATATTTCTGAGAGACGGTAAAATACCTTATTGGGTCAGGAGAAAATCGCTGGACCTCCGAGTGCGCGTTGGGGACGGTGAAGGTAGGTGAGCATATCGCCCATGGTAAGCAGTCACAGGGTCAGCAGGTCAAGGGCACAATGAAGCCGCTGTCTAAAACCTTGTTTTGATTGTTTTTGCAATAATGGAATGTTGTTTAGTTTAGAATTAAAAGCACGCAGGGTGAGCGCGGGCGGGCATAAAGGGGCGGGTTGTGGATAGAGTCCAAATACAGAGCAAGGATTCAGTCGTCATGTACGCGTCGACTTAGTTATGTAGATTGATAGAAAAAATATAGATGAGAGCGGTATTATGGACGAATGCCCACTGAGATTCTCGCCTCTTCTCAGTGGGTCGCGTTTCCGATCCGGTGGTAGATTCTGCGGAGCACGGTTCTTGCTAGAGTTCGTGTTAGCAATAACGCCAGGTTTGAACCCCGTGAGCTCACCTACACGCTATGGTAACGCTGACATAGCCTTGAGAGGCTCTCAAGGCTATGTAGGAAAGCTCAAGCTTAGGTAGGAAAAAACAGAGTCATCGGAAACTTACTACGAGTAGGTATATGTTGTTTTATTACTCTCATTTCCAATAAGACAGAAATCAGAAATTGTTATCGAAGCCTACGGAAATTCCCGTTAATTGTCAAACAGAAACGGAAGACCGGGGCAGAAATAGGCAGGTGGGGGTAATTATCCTTACGGGCTTACAAAACGAACTGCCACAACAAAGTCTTCATGTAAAAGTACAAAACTTATTTTGGACGTAATTTTAAATACCGTGAATATCTGCTTTAATACGACATTAAATGTAATAATACAATGTTATCTTATACCTTTAACAAGCAATTCTTGTATATTAATATATATGTATATAATCTGAATCTCGGAAATGGCTCCAACGATTTTCATAAAATTTAGTATACAGGGGATTTCGGGGGCGATAAATCGATCTAGCTACGATTTATTTTCAGAAAATGTTGTTTTATTTGTGTTTTCAATAATCAACTCTTCCCGACATCTATTGGCGAATAATAATACTATTTTTCTTAATTGAGGGCAACTATCCGCTTTAAAGACACGACAAGATGGCGTTATCAAAAAAAAAAAAACGAGCAAAGCTCAGTCATCATCTAGTGATACTATAATAAGCAATAGGAAGGAAAAGAATTTGGAAATAATTTTATGAAGTACAAATCCGAAACCGTGAAATAAAGGAAATAGCGTTGAAAACGAGCGGGGCAACCAGCCGTGCGAGCATTCGCCACATGTGATCAGGAATTCTGCGGGGGAAAGGCTCAATATCACCCATCCCTGTCGCAATTACATCTACATCGTGATCTCATCTTAGCTGGCACGCATTCCTTCTTTTCATTAGGACTAAATATAGCGGTGGATTTACAATAGGGGCAATCGGGGCAAGTGCCCAATGCGGCAAATTTTTTAGGGCGGCAAAATTTTGAAATTGAAAAACATTTATAATTGTTAGAAAAAAAAAAAACAAATATTGATTTATGTTTCTGGAATATATAATACACTAGCGTCCCGCCCTCGCTTCGCTTCAGAAACTGTAATTTATTATTGATTTCTCCAATACTTAATGGATGTTATTATACATAATATAAACCTTCCTCTTCAATCACTTTATCTAATTAAAAAAAACCGCATCAAAATCCGTTGCGTAGTTTTAAAGATTTAAGCATACATAGGGACAGACAGATATAGGGATAGAGAAAGCGACTTTGTTTTATACTATGTAGTGATAATAAAGTTTCTGCAATAAATTAGTTATTTTAATTTTGAAAAATAAAATATATAAACTATAAGCTTAAGTAAATTTCCAGTATTGGGGCGGTTTTTTTTCGGGTGCCCAGGAGCGGCATTAAGTTTAAATCCGGCTCTGACTAAATAGTACTAACGATTTGAGAGCCAACGGCGCCGTATTCAAATTGTATACTTATAGTCTTGAAACAATGTGTCGTCATAGATAAAACACAGTTCATTACCTTTTTCTCCTCTGTCTGTCTTTTAGGAGTTCTCTTTGCAGTTTTTACGGGGAAATAAAATAATTAAACACGAAACAAAAGAGAAAATGTAATACGTACAATAAACTTCAACCTTAGGTGCCAGGGTTTATGGTCAAATATCGGACAAATGGGCGAACATTACTTTTAAAAGCGCTCTTACCATTTGTGCCATGAACCGGTCATGCGTTTCGGTATGAAGAGTGCTATTGACACTAAGATCGGGCAATAAAAAGTGCATTTACACGTGTCAATCGGCCGGAGTCAAGTTAATTTAATTCTTAAGCTATTGTGTTAAGCTTTTGATTGCTTTAATTAGTAAAGGAGTATGCGACATTTTCGATGGTAAAAAATGCCCATCGACATGAGTAGAGCTACGGTACTGTCCTGAATTCACTCTTTATAAAACAAATGTTTTAATGCTCATAAAATAGCGGGGAAAGAATATAATTACTGAGTTTTAATATTCATTTGCTTATCTCACAAAAGCTTATAAAATAATTGGAAACCTGTTAATAAATTTATTTCCTTACTAGCACAATATAACAATTATTTGCGGTAGGCAGCGGCTTGGCTCTGCCCCTGGCATTGCTGAAGTCCATGGGTGACGGTAACCACTCACCATCAGGTGGGCCGTATGCTCGTCTGCCTACAAGGGCAATATTTTTTTTCTGAAAACGGGGTTTCCTACCGATACTAATACTAAAAACTATATAGTGCCTACTGTTTCTATTAAATATAAAATTATTCTATTAAATATAATTATATAAAAAAATATAAAGGTATGGTTCATTAAAACAAACATATTAATAGTCTTCATAAGTCGGCAAAAAATTTACTAAAAAATAGAAGATAAATAAGTTTTTGTTGCTGTCCATACCTTTTTATCGCACTTTGACAGATCAAGGTCATTGAAGTGCACGTTTTTATATGAAACGCACTATAGTAACAAATTTGTTTTACACACTACATCAGTATTTTGATTGTAATTTTATTTGTTTTTGTGTGATTAATTTATCAATTATTGTTGTCTCTAATGCAGTTGCTAGTCAAAAGTTATAATCACTACATACGAGGGCGGCACTGAAAATTTCGGGAATTAACGAAGTGACACAACATTACTATTTAAAAATGTATTTATTGCTTTTCGAAGTGTTCTCCGCGAAATTTGACACATTTTTCCATGCGATGGAACCAATCATTGAAGCAACCATTCCATTCGGAAGTTGGGGTCTCCAAAATGGCCGTTTTGTAGGCACAGCGTGTCCACAGCTTCTTCAGGTGATGAAAATCTCTGTCCACGCAATTTATTCTTTATTTTAGGGAAAGTATAGAAATCATTAGGGCTTAGGTCGGGGCTGTACGGCGGATGGTCTAATAATTCTATGTTTTCTTGCTCTAAAAACTCTTTTGTTCTGTGCGCGGTGTGAGAACTCGCATTGTCGTGATGAAGGATGATGCGGCGGTTGCAGTTCTCTTTACGGAGTTCAGAAACGNTAAAATAATTACCACCACAGGAAGTTAATTTGAAACGCGATTTTTTATAAGTTAGCAGCTATTATCATGCATATTCAGAGTTGTTTTGTGAACTTTCAACATTCTACTATTAAACTACAAAAAATGGAAGATTTTGCAACGAATATACAACTTATATTGAGCGTCGAAAGATTTTCCCGGTTTTTTCCCGATTCGCCTCTCAATCCCTAATCGCCCCATTTTACCGGTACTTATTTTAATGGTAGGGTTGTGTTAATTTGGTTATAATATAGATCATTTTTTTTTTATTCAAATAGTATGGTCATCCACAGTGCGTTTCCAGAGGTCTTTTATGCCACGTACCATCCGGTTATGGAATGAGCTCCCCTCCACGGTGTTTCTCGAGCGCTATGACATGTCCTTCTTCAAACGAGGCTTGTGGAGAGTATTAAGCGGTAAGCAGCGGCTTGGCTCTGCCCATGGCATTGCTGAAGTCCATGGGTGATGGTAACCACTCACTATCAGGTGGGCCGTATGCTCGTCTGCCTACAAGGGCAATAAAAAAATTTGTAACCTTATATATTTGGCCAGAATCCATATTAAAAGGTTTCTTTATTCAAATAGGCTTTGATATGTCCTTTTAATGTATTCTTCACCATCGATTCGCAAAACAGTTCCATCATTGAGATGAATAGTCGAGAGGCTGGGCGCTTGATATAATTTCTATGGCAATAGGACCATGTCCCTACTTACAAGATGGCAAAAAATTTATCGAACCAAAAGGTACCTACATCATCATCATCATCATCAGCCTATAGCAGTCCACTGCTGGACATAGGCCTCTCCAATTGTTAACCACTGAGCACGATCCTCGGCTTCTCTCATCCAGTTCCTGTCAGCCACCCTGCACAGATCATCACTCCACCGAGCCTGAGGGCGTGCTGCACTGCGTTTTCCAGTTCGCAGTTTCCACTCAAGAACGCGTTTACCCCAACGGTTATCGGTTAAATGTAAATAAACTATATTAAAAAATGTTAATTTTCTTAAAAAATGCGAATAAACTTTTTCCCCAACCTTATACTTACACGATACAACCATCTTGCTTATTCCTACCGTGAAAAATAATTTAAAGTAACATGTTTTCGCGAGGCGTCAGTTGAAGCTCCTGTCAGAAGTAACTCTTTTAATATCCCACGGCGCTACCACTTATTGAATTAGGCGAAGTATATTCTAATAAAAATGCAAACACAGATTACAACTTATTTATTCAATTCAATGTACCTATTGACATAGTTTAAAATGAATTTTGACAGGACTTTTTGGCGGGAACGCGAGCAGTGAAGTTGTGTGATTTGTTTTATTTTGTCTATTTAGGGTTTCTTCAGGTTTAAATGTGTAATAACGGTGGTTTATTAACTGTTTAATATCTGTGAAAGTGCACAAATGTGGGAAAATGAAACAAAGCTGCTGGACGTAACTTCTCGGGTTCCTCCAAAAAGTCCACTAAAAAATCTCAGTAAATGACCACCATTTTACTGCGATTATATTTCATCCCATATCATCTCATTTCATTAAATTTCATCCCAGTTGATTAATGTCTCAAATTAATCATCTTCATTTCATTTCACTCCATATTATCATTTTTCATAAAAATAAGAATATAAAGTAAAATAAGACATGACTTAAAGGTCTTAGTTACCAGGTCATAAAATCTCTTAAAAAAATAAAAATAAATTAATTTTGACAAACTTGACACCTCGAGTTCCCGCCAAAAATACTTATTTGTCACAGACAATAAGAATTAGATTTCGAGTTAAATCATAGACAACACGACATCTAGTGGTTACGTTGAATATTTTTTTGTCTCTTTATTGCAAGAAGATTCGTGGATCAAGTGAAAACCAATAGGTGGCTCTATTTACATCATCTTATAGTTCTGAAGAGTAGGAAGACGGTTATACTCGTACTACGAGTATTGCAATTGAACTTTTTTGTGTCAAAGTGGATGAAGGCATTAACTTTCAACATTAAGCTCTGCTCTTTAACCGATTAACGTCGGATAGACCGTGAGCTTGTCAGTTAATAATTCGAAATTTTGTGTAATTGAAAAATAAAATTACAAATACTAATAATTGTTGTGAACAATTCATCCTTTTTTGTGAATTGGGTTTCGGTCATTCGTTAATCGACTTTTTAGCCTATCTCAGCGGTTATTTGATAATCGCCAAAAACTCCAACGTTATAATAATATGTACATATAAATTATGAGACTTGCTGAATTTCCTCTTTCAGGAACACCAAAATTCAGGTCAATAGCTCCGTTACCCTGTCACAAACAGGACTCGCAGAATACATCAATAAAACCGAGGAGAGCTTACACAAGCTGAATATTGTACAAGTGAAGCTTTGGGGAAATGTAAGGTCAGTATATAAGTGGGTCGTAGACGCGATCAAACTTTAATTCGCTAACGCAATATTCAAATTGTGATAATATTCTAACCGTTAGCTATAGCGTAATATAAAGCCACATATGTTCGAATTCTTATATTGTGTATTATTACATTAGCATAATACAAAGTCATATTATGTTCAAATTCGTGTATTGTGTATTATTATCATAACCCTATTTTGAACAGCGAGTATCGGAATTCCAAATTTCAGCACTACTTCAACAACTTCCACGATGAAAGTTTAGCATCGGGTAATAAAAAAACCAAATTCGCCATATTTGTGACTACACACCGGTACATTCCGCATTTGCCGATTTCTGTCAGAAAGCACTTCTGAGGGCTTAACGAAGGAACTTAGGGAAGATCTTTTACCGAGCCGGTGAAATTGCTCGATAGACCGACGGTCCAAATGTTGTTGTTTGAAGCTTGTATAAAATAATTATGTACCTTTGTTGCAAGTTTATCTTGAGAATGTTGTAAGCGAGATTCAGGCATCTGTCAAATATCTTAGGTTGAACGATAGCTACCGCCACACACTCATACGATCCGGTTCGAAGAGGGCGATAGGTATTCTACAAAACCGATCGAGACTTCAACTTTGTGTTTATAGACATCAACTGAACCCAGCGCCCTCGTGGCAGTCTAGGGCTCCGGAAACCAGCACGAGGTGCCCGTCGAACATGTGCCACGATTCGCGGCGCCGTATGCACTATTTTAACAAAATATCGATTAGTCACTCACCGGAACCGATGACCTCGTCGACTCACGCCGTATCGCTTAGGGAGAAGGCTTTAGGGCAGGAATGGATAAGGATTAGTGATAATGCAAACCGTCACACCGTCATGAGGGTACCGTCCCGTTCGAGAAGCAAGCCAAAGTGACAGATGTCAAATCGCGAAGGCACCGTCAAATCGCTACACGTGTTGCCGTGGTAAAAATTCAAATACCCACAGATTGCTTTCGAACATAGGAGTGTTTTGTTTTTTTATTTAAACAGTTTATGTTCTTGTTGAATGATGATGCTGTGGTTTCCAGGGAAACGGTGAGACGCGAAATGAAATCTGCCAGGCGTTCTGTGCTCCTGTATGCGGGTGTTTTAGTCACTGTCCTCATCACGTCGGCTGTGCCCTTACTGCTTCTCAGACACGTGGTTTCAACGTTAGAGGTAACATAGAGGTGAAATGCAATAACTGTAGAGTAGATGTAGAGTAGATGTAAATACTTGAAGGTTTTTTTTATTATTGCTTAGTTTGGTGGACGAGCTCACGGCCCACCTGGTATTAAGCGGCTACCGGACCCCATAGACATCTAAAACGTAAATGCCGCCACCTACCTTGAGATATAAGTTTTAAGATCTCAGTATAGTTACAACGACTGCCCCATCCTTGAAACCGAAACGCATTACTGCTTCACGGCAGAAATAGGCAGGGTGTTGGTACCTACTCGCGTGGACTCACAAGAGGTCCTACCACCAGTACAAAACAATAAATGTGTAATGGAGCTTTCGAACTCATGTATTAATGTGAACTAGTCTAGTCTAGATCCCGCAGTAGTCGAAATTCGACTATAATTAATTGGAATTGTTAATTTGTACACTATTATGATTGTATTTTATACTTCTATAATAAATTTCACCAAAGCTACACAAAAATATTAATAAAGACAAACAATATTTAATCTATTCTCAATTTGACAACAGACGTCAAGAACAAAAGTTTAACAATAAATAGTATGCATGCGTGTGTGCGTCAAATACATGGTATGTAGTGTGTGTAATGTTTTCTTTATTGATTTAATGCATCTTTTATGCATTATTTAAAAAAAATATTAGCATTGTGCACTTCTTCTCTATATTCTCTATAAGTGTGGAAAATTTCATACTCCTCCGTCCGCGCAATTTTCGTAAAAAGGAATACAAAGTTTTTGCTTCACGTATTAATATATAGATGACAGTCAATGAGCGAAGTGGCGGCTCATAGGAATTATCATGGTATAGCAGAAGTTAAAATCAAATAAATTATTTTTTTGTTTGAATAGACTTTACAGGCATTTTCAAATTGTTTAAGAGGAATTAGCAAAGGGAATATCTTCCACCGAGCGGATAACATTGTTCGGCAAACCGACGAACCAAATGTTTGTTGCTCATAATTTGTAACTATGCAAACTAATCATGAAAGGGTCTTGAAGCTGATTCGAGTAGGTATTTGTTAAATATCTATAGCTGCCGCTAATGTGCAATACATTTTTTTTATTGCCCTTGTAGGCAGACGAGCATACGGCCCACCTGATGGTGAGTGGTTACCGTCGCTCATGGACCTCAGCAATGCCAGGGGCAGAGCCAAACCGCTGCCTACCGAACCTCGAACTAAAAAGCGATGAGTTGGGATCGATGATTGGGTCAGAGTCCGGGAAAGACTTAATAAGACCAATAATAACCAAAAGTTGATTGAAGGTTGAAGAAGTAGTGTAAAAAAAACTAATCTATACTAATATATAAATATACCGTGGTTTTTACGGATGTTCCGTTATAACTACTGAACCGTGCATCCGATTGACTTGAAACTTGGTATCCATGTAGAAAATACATGTACTTAATGGATAGGCTAATATTTATATGAGTGTTGGACTCCCTACACCAGTTGCGGGAGCGTTACTGATGAGAATCTTTATGGGGGTGAGAAATGATAATGTTAATTTAAAATGCCCAGCGAAGCGGACGGGTACAGCTAGTAGTCTATAAAATCAGGATATTAATAAATTAATCTATTCGCCCGGCTCCGAGGACGGAGATTGCCGTCCGGGGTCAATATGGAAGGTCATTTCGTATTCAAGGTCCAGGAGTCCTTGTTCTTCTTGCCTCATATTTCTAAAATAACATTTTTCATAAAACGAAGGCACTCTTCCGAGTGGAAGTCATAAAACGCGTTTTAATTAAAATGCGGAAGTCGAGGAGAAACTAACATCAGTATAAAATTTTACGTTCTTAAAATTAAAATTAACATTTTTTTTAATAGTATTAATTATAATTTACAACGGCTGAACCCTAGTTTTTTTTTGAATATTTATCTACGATGTAGAGTTCTAGACAATTAGGGCATCAGAGTGCAAGAAAATAGACGCGTTTGAAATGTGGTGCTCAACGTCTACCACCTGTCTGCAACGCATAATGCGCTACTTTGGCCACGTTGCCCGCAGAGGTTTAGACAACTTGGAACGTCTGATGGTCCCTGGAAAAGTAGGAAAACGTCCTAGAGGCCGGAGCTCCAAACGTTGGTCCGACCAGATCTCCGAGCAAACCAGCGGACCACTTAGCGCTGCACTACACCGGTAACTGACCGGAACCGATGGAGGCTGGCAGTCGACAAGCTGAAACGGAGTCACAGTTCTCAGCAATGAGGGAGCGATGGAGAAGAAGAAATGTGGTGCTAGAGACGAATGTTCCGAATTCCGTGGACGGCTAAGAGGTCAAATAAGTCTATTCTGGATCAGCTTCGCATCCGAGTCAGGCTCTTAGCAACCTTATTACCGGAGGATACTCAGCTACTTCGGTCACATTGCCCGCCGATAGCCGGATAACTTAGACAAAGTGATTTTGACGGGCAAGGTGGAAGGAAATAGACCACACGACCGATCAGCTAGTTGTTGATGTGGCCAAATGACCACCTTAACTGGGCTGCCAGTCGCAACCGCCCTACGAGAAGCTGAAGACCGGTTTACTGGTGGTAGGACATCTTGAGTCCGCGCGGGTAGGTACCACCACCCTGCCTATTTCTGCCGTGAAGCAGTAACGCGTTTCGGTTTGAAGATTGGGGCAGCCGTTGTAACTATACTTGAGACCTTAGAACTTATATCTTAAGGTGGGTGGCATATTTACGTTGTAAATGTCTATGGGCTCCAGTAACCACTTATTACCATCTAAGCAATAAAAAAATAAACTATTCGTATTTTTCAGACATTCACCCACTCATTAAACATGAGTACGGAGAAGTTGATAGCCGAGAAACAGAAGAGCGACCTCTTGCTCTCCCGGATGCTCCCGCTGCCAGTTCTGCGGAGGCTGCGGGCGCAGAGGACGGTGCCGGCTGAAGCCTTCGACGCGGTCACCATCTTCTTCAGCGATATTGTCGGCTTCACCACCATATCTGCGAATAGCACGCCCATGGAAGTCATCAACATGCTGAACATGCTCTATAAGTGAGTATTGAATGTATTTCACGCACTATTTTCACGAAAATAATCTAATCTATACCAATATACCTATATATAAATCTACAGTGGTTTTTACGGATGTTTCGTTATAACTACTGAACCATGCGTCCGATTGACTTGAAAATTGGTATCCATGTAGAAAATACATGTACTTAATGGATAGGCTAATATTTATATGAGCGTTGGACTACCTAATAATAATGACAATAAATAATAATGTTAATTTTAAATGCCCAGCGAAGCGGGCGAGTATCCCTAGTATGTAATAGGGTAAAGCCGAGATAGATGCCCCACTTTTTGAAATAGTCATGTAATTTTGAAAATATTAATTTTATACGAATAATTTCTAGTAATGTAGTTAGCTCAAACCTTTATGTTTAATTAGTAGAATTTTTTTTTAACCTATCAAATACAGATTTTGCAGAAATTCGTTTTTCGTAGAACCTTTTTTTGGAGGATAGATGCCTACCTGTATGGATAGTTGCCCCACCAAGAAAATACTGAGTAGGATAGATACCCTTTATACCGTGTAAACGAAAAAACCAATCCAAATATTAAGAAGTTCTATTCCTAACAGAGCAATTGTCTCCAAGAAACATGGGTCATAATAATAAAAAATATTTTGTATTTTTTAAGTCTTTGAATGTTTATAATTAAAAGATAATTCTCATATCACACAAATGATCATAATTAAATTTTTAAAGCGTTAAGTAAGCGTAAGCTAAATTACAAATTTTTTAGTTTCAACATGCATTATCTTATTTTTTTATTAAATTAAATTTAACAAATATTTATTCAAAAAAAATATAAATTCTTAATTGTTTATAAAATATTTACATTAAGTGTCAATGTGTACATTGCAAAATCATATTTTTTTATATTAAATTAACACAATAAAGATATCTTTATTATTTTGTCAAATTGAAGTTTAACTGGATAGTGCGACTTCGTATTTTTATAGTTTTCAAAACATTCAATGCAGATATATTTACATGCGTTTTAGGTTTATCCCTTAGATTTCTTTAGGGGCAAATCTATTGTTTTATTTCCTTTCATTTTATAGTTAAGTGGATTGTCTTCATCTTCGCTGCTTGAACTATAAATCATTTGTTTGTGTTTTATGTTTTCGTGGCATATTTCAGCTATACTCTGAAATGGCAGAGTATGGAGGGATGGATGCCCCTAAAGGCACCTATACCCCAAAAAATCAGGGCAACTATCCTTTGTGATAAGGATAGATACCCAAATTTTTTGTAAATAAATTATAAACATAATAGCATTTATTTACACCTAAATGCAGACTCAATGAACCATTATATTCACGTAGTAAAAAATATAATTGAAGTTTACACTAATTATAAAGTTATAACTACGCTAAATATTAACCTTTAAATCTTTGACGTGTTCCTGAAATTCCGCGCGGAGAAAATTACATGCACGAGGAAAACACTTCGTCACCACGCGATTGTCAAATGGTACATAAGGTATAGGGTGACTGTGGTTCCTACTTATTCAATTAATTTTTTGTCATGAGTGCGGGAAGTTAGGTTTTTAGAACATGAGGCATCTATCCCGCTGCGGCATCTATCCAGGTTTTACCCTACATAATTCCAATTAAAAAACACTAATAGCGTTTTTTACTATTTACGTGTGTCTTAAAAACAATTGACATAATTTTAAATAAATACAATGGGTTATTTAGAATATGATATTTAATTATTGATAAAAATAAAAATTGTATAATTAAAAACGGATGAAATAAAAGAAACATCAAAAGATAACCCAAGGAGTTTTACGATCGACTGCCCAACTAAGGGTTGGCGGGCCAAATCCCTTTGCAGAATGATCAGAGGACATGCTGCGCCGAACTCACTTGATGATGGGATAAGGGCAAGAAGGTTTCTATGTGTAGATGAACTCTCATGGTATTGAATCACCCTCTACCTGTCTATGACGATACAGTGTAATCTTAAGATTAAATCGAAACAAGATTATAACAAAAACAACTCTGAAACACAATTGCGAAGTGAGAACTTATCGCGTTCATAAGTCGATTGGTTGGAGAGTTAGGCGACATTAAAATAATATTACGCGTTGGGGTTCGGGATAAACAAAAAAATTCTACCGAATTTTAATTTAACACTGTATTAGCACTTAGAACACTTAAAACACTCAACAAACACCTTAGAACTCTCGATTCGCTTCTTCAGCTTCGCTTCAGGTGATCCGTACGCTTTTATAGTCGAGATGAAATCCCTAGAATCGTCGAGAATATTCCACAAAATTCTAGTATTGTGTTTCCGCTATGTGACAATAGATGGCGTTGTGCTTCTCGAGCGTTCTAGACACTACTAGATCCTTCTATATTCCTTCGACTATTCGACGATAGACGGCGTTACTCTTACCGGCGTAACAATAACTACAATTTAAATTCTCTTGCAGATTGTTTGACGAGAAAATATCTCAATACAACGTTTACAAGGTGGAAACTATAGGAGACGCGTATATGGTGGTCTCTGGTCTGCCACAGAAAAACGGTGAGTGTGCAGTCCTCGAGGGATCTGAAAAAATTGGGCATTTGCGCTTTAACTGTTTGAATTGAAGACAAAATTCCGATTTGAATACAAATTTTGAAAGTTTTTTTTTATTGTCTGAATATGCTTACGGTCCATCTGGTGTTATTGATCAGCGTAGTTTGTGCAGAGTACTGCCGGTAAACAGCGACTTGGCTGCGCCCCTAGCATTGCTGATGTCTATGGGCAACGGGAGTCTCTTACCACGAGGGGAGCCACACAATAATACCACCAGCAATTAAAAATATTTTTTTTTTATTATATTTTACACAATGTTATTCGTTCACCGCGGAAGTAATTCATGAATATTTATTAAGAAAGTACTTTCAACTGCCTGCGAGCTTTGAATACTCCTGTCCGTATGTCTTATCCCGTAGGCCAGTGGTTCCCAAACTTATTTTGTCTACTGCCCACTTTGAGAATAAATTATTTTTTAGCGCCCCCCCTTTTTTCACCTGAGAAATCCGGAGAGTCGGTATCTAAAAGTCCTCTTAGATGATATTAAAAATCGCCTCCCAAGCCTTTACACAACGCTCTCATTTTTTTCTGGGTCTCTTACCCCCTTTAGGCCTGCAGCGGTCACAAGGAGGCGTTATCGCCCACTTTTTATTGCTTAACTAGGTGCACGAGCTCACAGCCCATCTGGTTTTAAGTGGTTACCGGGGCCCATAGACATCTACAACGTAAATATGCCACCCACCTTAAGATATAAGTTCTTTAGTCTCAAGTATAGTTACAACGGCTGCCCCACCCTTCAAACCGAAACGCTTCTCTTACTTCACGGCAGAAATAGACAGGGTGGTGGTACCTACCCGCGCGGACTCAAGATGTCCTACCACTTTGGAAAAGGCTGCTGTAGGTGGTCTAATGCCTTTGCTGCTTAAAATGATATTGTGATATATCCAGGCAGCCGTCACGCGTCCGAGATAGCTGACATGTCATTGTCGCTGGTGAGCAGCGTGCAGGAAGCGCGGGTGCCGCATCGTCCCGCCGTGCCCCTGCGGGTGCGCGCCGGCGTCAACACGGGCCCGTGCGTCGCCGGCGTGGTCGGGACCACCATGCCGAGATACTGTTTGTTCGGCGACACCATCAACACCGCCAGCAGAATGGAGTCTACTGGTGAACGTAGGTTCAATGATTCATATGTGACGACTGTTTTAATCGCCGATTCCACGTGTTGGTTCTTTTTTTATTGCATAGATGGGACGAGCTCACAGCCCGCCTGGTGTTAAGTGGTTACCAGAGCCCATAGGCATCTACAACGTAAATGCCGCCACCCACTTTGAGATATGAGTTCTAAGGTCTCAATATAGTTACAACGGCTGCCGACCCTTCAAACCAAACGTTACTGCAGAAATAAGCAGGGTGGTGGTACCTATCCGTGCGGACTCAAGATGTCCTACCACCAGTAAAAACGTTTACTGGTGGCAGGACGTGGTTGTGGGGGGGTGGTATGTTTTTTTTGGTTGAAAGTCGTCGAGTGAGCCCGCACGGGTAGATACCACCGCCCTGCCTATTTCTGTAGAGCAATACGTTTCGGTTTCAAGGGCGAGGCAGCCGTTGTATTGTAAAAACTGGGAACTTAGAACTTATGTCTCGAGTTGGGTAGAATTTACGTTGTATACGTCTACGGGCTCCGGTAACTTCACAGCAGGTGGACGGTGAGCTCGTCCGGTTTTCGTGAGTCGAGATATAATTAAAACTACTACGGTTTAATCTTACGGCCCATCTAAATCGACGTCAAAATATTTCTTGCACAATTGTTGTAAGTGATACAACTGGAACACTGATAAGTAATAACGGAAGTATATCTATCTCGTTTTTATTTCAACGGGACATAGCTAAATGATTATTACAGAGCGCGGGCGACAGGGATGTCTGATCTACTCTCAGCGCTGCCTGACGCTATTAGTACTGACGTTAGCAGTGACCAGAGCACAGCACTCGTCGAACTCGCCCATGGGTTCGATGGGACCTTTAGTCCATAGCATCAGCCCGCTGAGTTTTTCGCCGGATCTTCTCAATAGGTCGCGTTTGTGATCCGGTGGTAGATTTTAGAGAAGAGCTATCCTGTGATAGATGCATCAGCGAAGCAACTACTGCACTTAGTTTTAGGGCCTCTTTCTGGGTAGCTCGGGCGATTATGAGAATCCCTTACCCCGGTTTGCTGACCCGTCTTTGTTAATCGGCAAGGCTTTTGGGCCAACAGTCATCCTTCAGCCCAAAAACCGAGTATAGTTTTTTGTGACTTTGTTTGGTCTATAACCAATGATAAACTCATAATTAGGTGACACGTCACACTGACATAGTGGCCGTGATCGTCATTTAGTGGGAGCAGACTTGACGCGTCTGAAGATATCCCGTCGTCTCTAGGCCTTTTAATTTGGTCGGTTCACTGCAATAGATACCTCCTGTGCGGTCTTGTATCGTCCAGTTTACCTTGTACGAAACGTGTCCGAAAATATCCACCATCCGGGACTGTATTATAAAAAAAAAACGGTGCTTGATGCCGAGTTCTTGAAGTATCGAAATGTTTGTACTAAGGCTACGAAACGCGGTTCACGAAACTTCAAGCATTCTTTTCCAGCACCACATCTCTGAAGCGTCTATTTTTTCCTTTTCATTTCTCATACAGTTCACGCCTCAGCAGCATATAGAAATTTAGGAGAATATTAGTGCTCTAACACGCCTGATCTTTGTGGTCTTTGTTATGTTTCTATTTCTTCATACTTTCCTCAGCTAACCACTAGCTATACTATACTATATTTAGCCATGCATTTTTTCACAGCTATGAAAATTCACATTTCGGATTCGACGAAGAGAGCCTTAGACGAGTTCGGTACCTACATCACTGAGTCCAGAGGAATTATTGATATTCCGGTACGTGTTTTATAACTGATTTACACGGATCCAGTACACGGTGAACATAATTAATAAACAGTGCTATTTACATGTGTCCATTCAATAGTAAATATATATTAATTCAAGATCGTATAACAAATATTTCTTTATATTAGGTGTCACAAACAGGTTTACCAACTGTCATGGTTGGCGGTGACCGCTCCCCACCACAAGGAAGTAAGCTTCCATTTAAACGTAATTGAAGACATGAAAGTCACTTTAAATTTATAAAAAAAAGTTAAGAACACGTGTTGGAAAAAGCGTTTTCAAACGGCGAAGTAACATGGTAACAAAGTATGCTATGTGAAATGAAGTATAAACTATAAAAAGCGTTTTTATTTTTTTATTGCTTAGATGGGTGGACGAGCTCACAGCCCACCTGGTGTTAAGTGGTTACTAGAGCCCATAGACATTTACAACGTAAATGCGCCACCCACCTTGAGATATAAGTTCTAAGATCTCAGTACTATACTGAGATACAACGAATGCCCCACCCTTCAAATCGAAACGCATTCCTGCTTCATGGCAGAAATAGGCAGGGTGGTGGTACCCACCCGCGCGTATTCACAAGAGGTCCTACCACCAGTAAACTCACAAGAGGTCCTACCACCAGTAATTAAACGATAAGCGTGTTATTTAAAGCTGTTTATCGTAAACACTTTTTTGTCCTGCCCTAAATTAAAACTGTCCGTGTGTGAAATGACAGGTCGTTCTAATTGTAATGTTTTTAACTCCAGGGCAAAGGCAGCATGGAAACGTTCTGGTTGCTCGACAAGATCGGAGGAGTACAAACTGAGAGTCCGCGCTGTCAATTCAACGACTACGACCACAATTTACTGGAACTCATAATTAAATCTTAAGTCACGTTTCTTGGTTGAATATTGTATGTACGAGTATATAAATGTGATGTTTGAGGAATATAACGCGAAAATTTAAAGACATAAATAAAAGAGATTCGATAATTTTCAGATTTGACTTTAGGATTCAGATACGGTGAAATAAATCCAGCTTCTATGCGACGTCGACAAATTTGTGTTGAAAAAATCATATGTAAATAAATTTACGTACTTCTAGCTATATATTTAGATTTGTGAACCATGAAACGAATTAAGATATTATATTTATATTATCGGTCTATTTTTAAGGGATCGATTGTAACTATTTCGTTTTACCTACCTATTCGTTGGTAACTTTAGGGGCTATTTCAACTTCGGGTGGAATGGTGAGCTCACGGGCTCAACCTGAGGAGATTTGCTAACACTGGCCCTAGCAAGAGCAGTTTTTCGCAGAATCTACCACCGGATCGGAAACGCGACCAACTGAGACGATCCGGCAAGAAACTCAGTGGGCTGTGTCTATGGGGAAACTATTCAAGGTTTACCCCTGTCTAGTACTGCAAACAATTCCGTTTGGGACGTATTTTGTGTTCCCAGCTTTTTTGTTCTTTATTTCCTACCAATTCGATGGTAGCCTTAGCTATTCCAGCTACGCGTGGACGGTTAAGTGACCTAACACTGGCCCTAGCAAGAGTAGTACCTCGCAGAATCTACCACCGGATCGGAAACGCATTACCAGTATTAAAGTTCTCGCAGTAGGGAACAATAGGGAACCGGACAGGTCTGACGATTGAAAATAAGCGCGCACCAAATTTTGCGAAGCTTGGCTGAACTGACACTTCATCATATTTGATGTCGTTTGGAGTCGGAATGTAAGTTGAAGGAACCATAAATCATAGACTAATACAAAACGATAAGCCACACATGACATCATGCGTTGTAATTGCTGATAAACTTGACGGGATAATTTAGTGTTATTTGATTTTATTTTGTGATTGGAAATGTTATTTAATACAAAATTTTGTTTGCAAAGAGTTTAATGAGAATCTATATACTAATACGTGAAGCAAAAACTTTGTATCCCTTTTTACGAAAATTGCGCGGACGGAGGAGTATGAAGTTTTCTACACTTATATAGAATACTAGCGACCCGCCTTCGCTTCGCTTCGGAAACATTAAAACACACATTAAACCAAAAAAAAAAAAAAGTAGCCTATGTTCATCAGGGACAATGTCGGCTTCTAATGGAAAAATAATTTTTCAAATCGGTCCAGTAGTTTCAGAGCCTATTCGAAACAAACAAACAAACAAATCTTTCCTCTTTATAATATTAGTATAGATAGAGAAGAAGTGCACAATGCTAATATTTTTTTAAAATAATGCATGAAAGATACATTAAATCAATAAAGAAAACATTACACACACTACATACCATGTATTTGACGCACACTATGACTATTTATTGTCAAACTTTTATTCTTGACGTTTGTGGTCAAATTATAAATATTGTTTGTTTTTATTAATATTTTTCTATAGTGTAGTCTTGGCGAAATTTGTGATTAAAGAAGTATAATAGTCTTTGAAAATAGAATCTTAATAGTGTACAAACTTATAATTTCAATTAATTATAGTCGAATTTCGACTATCAGGCGACCGCTAGTATTTAGAAAATGTTGTCTTTTTGACATTGTCAGGTGTAGGAACTATCCATAAATTCATATTGCAGTGGGTTATCTACATTGCGTTGTCGACGAATTAAGATTGATTTTACAATTTGATTTTTTTTTCGTGTCTATTGAGTGAATGTTTGTTCCTAAACACGTTTATACCATACAGTTTGAGGGAGTTCATATAGAGTCCCTTCTTTATTTCGCCGTAAAGTCGTGTTTTATGAAATTAACACCACAGTTGGCACAATATAAATTTTATTGTTGTGGCGGCATAAACAATTCTAAGTAATTATATTACATTAGCTATTAAACACATTATAAATTATTTTTACGTTTTAAATTTTTGGCGGTAAAAAAGGTCCCGTGTCACAGACTATATTCTTTTTTCCACCTCTCGTGCGTTCCGGCTTACGCATCATAAAAAGGTGCGTTCTTAAACGCCACAAGTTCCCCACAAGCCAGGGTTTTGAAACTTTCCGCATTGTACATTTTAAATATTTTATTGAATTGAGAAAGAATATCTGGTGACGTTTTGGGAAACAAAAAAAAATGTATATACGAAAGTAAATGTAACAACATTAACGGATATTTTGAGTAAAAATATTAAAGCAAATTTAAATTAGGTGAATCCGTGAAAAGGCAGGACGTTGATCCCGCGTTTTATCTCAATTTTATTCGTTTTTCATTGTCTGCTGAATAAAAAACTTATTGGTTTTTAAAATAATATAACGCTGAGGTATTAGGATTATCTATCTTCTCTTCTGAAAATTTCTGAAAAATATGTAATTATATGTAATTAGATGTATTAGTATGTAATTATAATTGATTATCTCTTATGTTTTAAGTACTGGGATTTGCCGGTAAAAAATCAAGAACAAATCACACTTCCCCGCAACTTATAATTGTTTATTGTAATTTAAAAACGTAAATGGTAATAAATTTATAAATATATATATAAATTAAAAACTAAAGTAAACTTCTTATTAAATGTATTGTTACGTAAGTGTGTAAATTGTATGTCATAACATAAATTAAATTACTGTAACTTATGAATAGAAATTAATTGTATTTACTATGAGGCCATATTGAATAAATAGTAATGAATTAAAAAGGTACAGTGTTTTAATTTTGTCTATCTCATTATTGCTTTATTCGTCTTTTGGTTGTCCAACTGACAGGAAGAAGTTTTATAGTAGCGTCTGTACTGAAGCGAGCTGACGACCTATCTGATGTTAAGCGGTTACCGGAGCGGTTGAAGTTTGCATTGAGCGTTTCGACTGGCCTTAGACCGGAATATACAGTTGTGGCAGAATTAGGGTGGAATATTGGCTCATACGGGTTATACATTAGCACGAACCAACAACTATTCTAATAGTAAATAATAACATTAGAAATCCAAATATTCCGGGATGCATACACGCTCGATTCTAATTCTACAATATCTTTTTGTGACCACCTTATCCCAATAGGTGGGGTCGGCACAGCTAATTTTTCTCTTCCATTCTCTTCTATCAGCCGTCATCTCAACTCTCACTCCTCTCTTTCTCATATCGTTATTCACACATTCCATCCATGTCTTCTTCGGTCGACCTCTACCTTGCACTACCATTTCCATACATCTCCTAGTCACAACATCTCTTCTCTACGCATCACATGTCCATACCACGCTAACCGTTCTACAATGATATATTTCTAACCCATGCATCAGTTCGCTGAGTTTCTCGCCGGATCTTCTCAGCGGGTCGCGATTGCGATCCGGTGGTAGATTCATTCGCGAAGCAGCTGCTCTTGAATGGCTAGGTTTCCTTCGGAGGCGCTCGGGCAGCTGTTAGCAAATTCCACGCCTCCTGGCTCAGCATTTGTTTGCTTGCAAGGTCCTGGTGAAACTGAAAAGGCCTCATGGCAACTAGAATCATTTAAAAAACCAATGATATAATTTAATTACTTAGCTTATAATATAAGTTAATATGTAGGCACATTCTCGTGGAACAGATGGCCGCGGGGGCAAAGTTGTCGAGTGGCTAGCGCGTAGTACGTCATTCGGGATGTAATATGGGTAGGCCTTCCACAAAGTGGACCGAAGACTTGTTGAAGGTCGCGGAAATCCGCTGGATGCCGGCGGGATCGGTCGTTGTGACAAGGCTTGTGGTAGGCCCATGTCCAGTAGTGGACTGTCTGCGGGCTGAGAGATGAATGTAGGTAATAATATGAAGTCGTCGTGGCCTAAAGGACGTCCGGTGCATTACTATCTTGCGATGCACCGGTGTTCGAAACCCCGTAAGCTGGTACCAATTTTTTAAATAAAATAGGTACTTAATAAATTACTTCCACGGTGAAGGAATAACATCGTGTAATAAAAATCAAACCCGCAAAATTATAATTTGCGTAATTACAGTTAGTAGGACGTTTTGTGAGTCTGCGCGGCTAGGTACCACCTCTCTGCCTATTTCCGCCGTGAAGCAATAATGCGCTTCGGTTTAAAGGGTGGGACCGCCGTTGTACTGTAAAACCTGAGACATTATAACTCATATCTCAAGTTGGCTGGCGGGGTTTACGTTGTAAATGTCTAATGGTCTTCGGTAACCACTTAACACCAGGTGGGTCGTGAGCTCGTTCAACCATCTAAGCAATATATATATAAAAAAATAATCGAAATTCGTCATTGTTTCTAGCTTTGGGGTCGTGACTAAGGGACGCCTAGTTAATGTTGTGATAACCATCTTCAGTAAAAATTAATTCTTAATTTAGACCACATCCTACAAGTTTGTATTCACTTAAGGACGATCTCATAGATCCTCCTAGATCCTCCTAGATCCTCCTGGCTGTTTGTGATATCGGATTTCAATTGCTACTTCAATTAACACCATATCCAAATATACGAAAGTAGTAGAACGAAACTTGTAAAGAATCCGAAATGTCAGAAATAATGTAAGGACAATAAAAAAAACGTGTGGCACTCGGGGACTGCCGCGGTAAAGCTATTGCAAAGCATTTTTTATCAACTTATGCAATTACAATTAAACAATAATAATTTAATATTAAAACAATAATAAAAATAAAACCACGCTATATTTATAAACATTAACAAAAGCAAAACACTAACTGTCTCCTTCACACTCATAAGCTAGACCGCGTGAGAGAGAAATGGCCAGACTTTTCATGATGCTCATACAGTGCGACGTCACGGCGCGCGCTTATTCACAAACACTACACCAGCGCAGCGTGTGAATGCACGGAATAGATAAATAAGGTTGGAAAGGCCTTTGCTCTAATTTTGTATTAGAACCAGTGTCGCCGCTTCATCCTCACTATTTTAATTTCTACACATACACACACTGTGATTACAAGTATTTCGCACACAACAAAAACACCCACACATAAATCTCAGGACAGATATTCGTTCGCAACTAGCACAAAACACCCGTAGGCATACACACTCACACATGCAAAAAGGCAATAAAAATGTTCATACACGCTAGTGCTTGATAAAATCGATATTCTTTATCGATAAATTATCTGATGAATGAATGGAGAAAATGAAACATGAAATAAATATTGAAAAAGAAAACTATTTTACTTTTATTAATTACAAATAGTCACTGTTCCTGGAATAAAACGTATTTATTAAGCAGTTGGCGCTTGCTATTAATTGCG